TGACTGTAAACTAGGTGATGTCTCCCTAACTCATGGAGGCATGCTAACAGTGTGCCCTATGATCCATCCTCTCCTTGCTCCCAGGGATCTGAGAAAGAGGTCTAAACAGAGCGTAAGAAGTGCAAATGTGAGCAAAAAGAAAGTCTGCAAACCTAGAAGAGCAGAGGCTTATATTAGGAGTTTCCAGGGACCTAACAGTGCTCAGAACAGAGCCTGGTCTCAACCTGATCCCCTGAAGAGTGAAAGATTTTTTCATTGGGGTTACACCCTTACAACTGAAGCTACAACTCTTCACAAGTGTTATTCTGTGCAGAAAGATACTGTGATTTTTTTTTCCTGGCCAAGATACGAGGCCTCTTAGACAAAGAGGACCCAGCAGGGAGAGTGGAATACCTGTAGCTGCAGCACTAGGTACTGTACTGAATAGCACTTTTTTCCACAATGCTAGCCCAGGGCCCACTCAGGGCTGACAGAGTTGTTTCAAGAGGTAGACAAATTGTTGTAAGAACTATTTAAAAAAAAAAAAAAAAAGTCCGTGTTTTTTCATGCCCGACTATCTGCAGAGCATTGATGGAGCTAATAAGGAATAAGGCAACAAAACCCACCGTATTTGTGAAAGCTATCCCCCCAAGACTACAGGGCTCATCCAATTCTGTACTTCCTTTCATTGGAAGGATATGGTTCCAGTAATTTAGAAGGTAGCGCTGTCCTCCACATCAGTGACAAATCAAATATCCTGTACTGTATCTTACCCAAGAGGACACACCCAACTGAGAAAGTTAGAAGTCTCATAGTACTTGAGTGCAGGACTGGTAATGCTTATTGACTTGCCAAAATCCAGCACAGCTACATTATTCCTAAATAAATTCTCCCTGCAGTTTCAGTTGGCTCCAGTATGCCATACTTCCCAAGCCACAGTATATTGTTGTGCATTATGACACAATTGCCATGTTCCATCCCAGAGAAGACTATGTTTATGATGTATGAAGCAAATTTTTTTTTTTGCTACTGATGTCACAAGGATATTGTGGGATTACATCATCCAAAGCATTACTCAAAAACATCAATGTCTTTTCAGATTTCTAGCAAGTACTAATTTTCCACAGGCCTTAAATCCCTGACCTGACAAACATAGGCTGTTATATGGAGTGTGTCACCTTATGGCAAGCTGCAGCACTTTTACCCCAGCAAGGACAGAGAAACAAATCACACAAGGATGCTGTGGTGTCATTACTACTTAATTGTATTTCGCCATCTGTTACCCAGGCAGAACTACGCGTGTACTTCATTACAGTTATAAAGGTTACTGCAAAAAGTAAACCACAATGACCATTGGATTTGCTCTAACAGCACAAAAAGGGGATAGAAAAAAAAACGCACCTATGAAATTATATTTAAAGACATCAAAGCTTTTAAGAACTATTAATTCCAACCACATAGCGAACAGAGTCTGGCTTAACAGCTGATGCTTTACAATGTTGTCAGTTTTCTGAGGTTTGAGCCAAAAAACTAATTTGATATTTAAAGATGTTTGAGAAGGAGGAGAGAGAAGATAGATACAATTTTCAAAAATCATGACTAACTCATACAAATCTAAGAGAAAACATTTTAAAAATAAGTTACAAGTTTCCTTTTTCATGGATTAACAACTCCCAGTGTAGTACATCATAAGTTTAAATAAACTTTTGGTAATGATGATTATTTGCATAACATCAAGTTAAGCCTCAAGGCAATAGCCTTAACACTGTTCTCAGAGTCTCTTTGTTTTTAGAGTACATTTTAGACAATTATCAGCATGCATCAAAAGGCTCTGGTTGCAGTGTGACAGTCTTTGTGGTGAAGACCAGAGCTTGGTAGTCTACTGATCAGGTGGGGGGTTATTTTTTATATATATATTTTTTTTTTGGTTACTGACTGGGCAATTAGTTGACCTTTGCCTCCTTGTGTCACAGACTGGTGGTGTAGGAACATCTTATCTTACAGTAAAGCATCATATGTAGCCAGCAATACAGGCAATTTATGACACTAGGAGGATCA